TGGGGGGGGGGGGGGAATACTTTTTTATAGGCATTGTATCTCTCTCTCTCTCTCTCTCTCTCTCTGTCACTCCGACCATTATCTCAAACTATTGGCAACTCACAGCAACGTAGACTCAGCAACAATGTAGACTGATAACTAGTCCCGTAGGTATGAAGGAAAATATATATCTTTTTAATTTGGGGGTGATCTGTCTCTTTAAGTCAGCTGGCTTGTTATAATTTTGTATTTATTGGAACATATTGTATGTTTGAAGAAGTGGCTCTGTCTTCCCCAATCACTGCATGGAGGTTTTATTTGTCTTCTTTTCACTGCAGTGTTTTAACAGCACACTGAATAATGTTCCAGAGGACTTTGTTCCCTGCCAGTAAACATTTCTTGGGGGAAATTGTGCAGTGAATATTGCTTTATTATCAAATCAGTCGTGTGAAATGCTGCTGAAACAATGGTGTCATCAGAAGAGCCTTCCCACTTGTGAAGTAAAGCAACGGCAACATCTGTGCTGTCAGATAGTCATGGCTGCCAATAATATTTACACTATGCATTCATAACTCCAGCGCATTTTGTTCTAAAACCAACAATATGAAAAGCTGATGAAGCTGCTGTCATGAAAAAGTCCTTCTCGGTTCGTCACATTGACATTGCTGCCAACAGTGTTTTCATTCCCCTAGTTTTTTTCGTTAGGGATCTTCTCCAGTTTAATCAAACGCTGCGTCTTGGTTGGGGATTTTAAAAGCTCTTGTCACTGAGCAACGTTAGCATGAATTTTGTTTCAGTTCACATACTGTATATCCCGCTGAGGCAGCAAATCTTTGCTGCTTTGATGGATTTTCCCCCTCACTTTGTGATTCGCAATCCGCTAACACTTGTAAGACAAGCTTCAATACATGCCCTCTAAATATAGCTAATGCCTCAGCTAAAACACACTCAGCTGAAATGCATTACAGACAGATTGAATTGTAAGAGCAGTTTTTGTGGCTCATCCTTAAGATCACATTGTAGCTTTAAATGACAGGCTCCATTCACTTGCCTCCTACATTGAAAAAAGCATGAGACATTTACTATCTCACCCAAATGTTAAATGGAGAACGATTAAATGGTATGAGTGGGATTATCTCCCCAAACAAAGCTGTGCATTCCCCCATTTTATTTTTATTTTTTGCATTTATTCTGCATCCTTTCCAGTGGAATAGAATTGTTAATGGTTTGTGTATTTTTCATGAATGGCAATATGAAAAACAGACACACTGAAAAGACAAGAGTCATGTTGGTATTGTCCAGCAAGAGACCACAGCCAAATATGTGTTGTTCGTGTTTAGCTGTTTATGTCGTCCTCATGTTTTTCATCTTGCATACTGTATGTATGTCATCCACTGTTTTCCATCAATACTATCTAAATTGTTTTATTTCTGCAGCCTTCCCCAATGCCACATACCCCATTTTCTCCTAAATATTCCTAAGTAACAAAATATCAGATCAGACCTACAGTACCGCCACCTGTGTTCAACATAAAGCTTGGTCAAGGTGCCACTGATAAAAAAATACTGAGAAATACATTCTGTTTAAGAGTAGATAAGACGGTACTTTCTTTATCCCGAAAGGAATGTCCAAGATCCTTCAAGATAGTAAAATAAATATCCATAGCAGCTCTGAATGGTGTTCAGACAGTAATTTCATTAGAGAATCAATCTTATATGATTACAGTCATTTATTAAACATATGTCATATATCTAGCAAAAGCACTAAACAATTAGTGGTTCCAGCTTCTCTGATGTGAAGTTTTGACAGTTTTCTCAATTTTATTTCATCATACATGTTATTTCTTTTGGGTTTGATTGACAAAAACAAGCAATGTGAAAACATAACTTGGGAGTTTTTGCTTTTCTCTGGCTGAACAATTAATCAACAGCTGAACCACAGTTCAGTCTACATTGACATTTTTTGACAATCAGCTGCAGCTCTGACACCTAGTATCAACATACAGTATATTAAAATATGGATGTTAAAATAGAATAGAATAATAAGTACTTAGTCGTCAACATAAAAAAAAACCCAATTGGTAACATGATAGCCATAGTAGATCATGATTCATGTTTACTGCAATACAGTAAAGCTGCAACTAATAATTGATAACTGGTCAACTTTTAAAAAAATTCCAGGAAAAAAAGTGAAAATTATCATATTCCTGCTCCTTGCATGTGATGATTGTTTTGCTATTTTACTCCCCTGTCACAATAAACTGAATATCTTTGGGTTGCAGACAAAACAAGCCATTTGAGAAAATCATCTTGAGCTCTGGAAACCCCCCCCCCCCCCGAATAAAAACGTTATTACCATTTTCTGACATTTTAAAGACAAACAACTAATTGATCAGTCAAGGAAATAATCAACAGAATAATTGACGATAAAAAATAATCCTTTGTTTCAGTTCACTTTTCAGGCAAAAATAACTTGATTGCATGATATAAGATTAAACACAACTGTCAATATACAGTATATTTGTCTGTCTACATATATTGTAATTGTCAAAGAGGAAAGTGTTACATGCTTTAAACAGTATACTAAAGAAATGTCAGAAGCGACATATCATAGGCCTTTGCTGTGGGACCAAATAGAGACAAAGGGAGGAGTTATATCATTATGAATATCATAAATCAGACAGAAGTTGGAAGTTCAAAACAGTTTGAACGAGGGAATGAAGCTGTCACATGCAACTAACAACCAGACTGTACAGCACTCCCATTTAAAGATAAAAAAAAAAAAAAAAAATGTATTTAACCATGTAACCTATTCAGGTTGGTAGATTGATTAAATATTTCTCAGCTTGTGCCAGTAAGAGGTTGTTTGCAGGAGCTGTTGACACCATACATCTGTATAAACAAAGAGCGTTTAATTTACTCTTTCTTGCTTAGATATTTCTTTATCTATATTTCAAGAGTTAAAAGACCTCTGTTTCCATGGAAACACCAGGGACAAGTACCCAACAGTTTATAGAACACTATTACTAATTCATAGTGCACTGTAATTAATTTGTGACAACACAATATCTGTGGTATATATACTGGGTGCAGTTTTCCACTTGGGTGTCGTGTGCTAAATCTCAGCCATATATTTGATTACTTCAAAGTCTTAGTGAAAAGGAAAATGAAGGCAGTGTGACCATTTTGTAAAGTCAAAGACAGAAAGAAGCAATGAGTTTTTGTGTTTCAGGCAACTTAGATGTCAGCGCTCAGTTGAACCAAAAGTGGGGGAAGTCATTATAAGATAGGGAAAGTTTTTAATAAGAAGAATCCTCTTTGGTTTTCTTTTTCTGAGCCCTGTTCTTTTTTGATGCAGGACTCAAACACAGGTTGCAGTAACTATCCACGTTTTACTAACAACACAGAGAAAATGGTGAAATAGGCAATTTGAAATTACAACTGATTTTTTGTGAAAAACAAAGAAACAATCCCCATAAATTGAAGTAAGTGCCCAATCACACCAAAAAAGAAAGGTGCTTTTGAAGTTTAATGATTTTGTGGCCATATGGATAGTAAGTTAACACAGTTAATTTATGACAATGCATTTGTACCATCCATTTTTTTGAGAAGTTTATACAGTGGAAGAACAGAGCTACGTGAAACTGGATGGAGAATGCAGCTAATATGATATAGTAGCTTCGTCCATTGTGACCTTTCCAAAATTTTGGGTTGTCTCAATTCCATGGCCAGTAATGTCAAGAAGTTTCACTTGGTCGGTGACTTAAATTTACATGTCAAAGGTCACTGAAGTTGAACACAAAAGCGTGTAAATTTGTCCTACCTTCATGAGAAAACACACTGGTTTTAGCTGTTCAACCAAAATAAGTTAACTTTGGTTCCAAAAATGTGCTGTTTTAAATGCTGATGTAACCAAATCCACATAGTTCAGTCTCAAACGTATCCCAAACTATTGAAGCAGAAGCATCAGTATGTCCTAAAATAACAAGTAGGCAATGAGATCAATGGTAGGATTTTGTGCAGTTATTTAAATTCTAACCATCCATTTATGCAACAGCAAAAAATGTACTGTATTCTTAAATGAAGCCCTGATCTTTGTTCATCACTTTTATAAATATGAAACAGTGTGTATAGTCATTTTCAATGGCATATTCATCCCTCATGTGTCTCCTGTTAGAGAGAATTCAAATTTGCTCAAACTCGCATATTCAACTGGCTTTCTACATTATTATATCACTTCTCCTTCATTGAGGGTATTTATAATATCCACTGTGAAAGGTTCACTTTACAAAGCAAACCTTGCCAGATTTTAATAAACGGCTCAAGGTGAAGTACAATTTGCTCAAATTGCATTCTCCCAAGGACTTCTTCAGCAAAAGGCCATTCACTTACAAAGCACAGATCAAAGGCAAGAAGCTGAAATGTGTGGACGCTTCTGCATCTGCTGTAAAAGTTTTGTCTGGCTTCATTTTCTATGAGGACGTCATGACAGCCAAGTCAAGGATCTATAATATTGTCCTCTTGTTGGTTCAGTAAATGAAATGGCTCAACCAAAGCTAAAGTTAAATTGCTCAAGGGGGAAATGTTGTCTTCAAGCTTTTCTTTAAATGATACATCAGCTTTCTGTTTGGCTTCCATCACCATTAGCCTACATTTCAGTTATTGCTTGAAGAAAACTTTTCTGCTCTAATCTGTTTCCATGCTAAATCCAGCATCTTTGGGTCTGGCTGCCCTTTTCCTGCCATCTCTATGAGGCCAACCACCATTGGTCAAGAACTCTTGTCCTCCTCATTGTAGATGTATTTTTTTTTTATTTTTTTTTCATGTGTGAATCCAACAGCGGGTTCAACTTTCTTGAACCCAGACGGTGACTCTGGAACGGAGGCAGACAGCGAGCCTCAGCTGGCCTTTTACACCGATCCAAACCGCAGTCGCCGGCGGAGTCGAGGTATGAGAAATGGTAATGCCAACAGCGCGTGGGGCTCAGGGGGTAAGGAGGACTCATACACCTACAGACAGTTTATCCCGTCGTCTGATGGTCTTACCATCGTCACGACGCATGACAAGTAACCTTTACAGTGCATATAGCAGATGGATGGCTCCAGTGGTGTGTGTGCTCGTGATTCCTAAAGGAAATACATGGAATTTGTGTACACAGTATGCACATAAATGTGTGTTTAACAGTGGTTGTGAGCATGTCACACTGATCTCAGTGCATCCGCATACAATCTTGTTGACTGAAATCAAACAAGACGATGAGATCAGAGGTTTCCAGTGCAGAATATTTTGATATCGATTGCATTTGACGACATGAAAAACACCATATTTTGAAATAATATTACACCCAAATATTATTTCTGAGGAGGATCCTGTGCAAATGCTGTCAAAGTGAAGTGGTGCAGCACGCTTTATCTTTCAGCATGCCATGTCCTTGCAGCTTTGATGTACAGTAATGGGGTGTGGAAGAGAGACATAGGAAAGAATAAATAAATAAAAAATAAAGAGACAATTCCCTCAAAATAATAGCTGCTGTCAGAGGGCGTTACAAGCCTTCACAGCACCTCTAAGCCAATTATTCCCCCGTCATGTGCACAGGTGTCACAAACATGGCGATGCCTCCAGAAGTGTAGCCAACACCTTTAATTAGAGCGAAGCTTAAGAATAGAATAAAGTGGCTGCAATGCTGCCCTAACTATGTTGTTTACATCCAGAGGAAAGGAATGATTCATGAGGCATGACGGGAGTATTTCTTCAAGTCAGAGGAATGATGAGTGGGGGGGGGGGGTGAAATTATTGAATTATATATATTCCACTTTTTTATGTAATAGCCAAATGTCTCCTGGAGATAATTTCTGCAATGTCATAAAAATAAAAGAAAATTAACTTTTTTAAAAAAAAGGTGAAATTACGCCCCACATCCAGGATTTCTGGGTAAGTTCTGAACTAGCTTTATACATAATACGATAGGTCAGCTTTCTACTTAGGCTTTTGTTTAAAGGATTGCCTTGGGCAGCTTTTGAATGAGAAAGTTCTGCCTGACTAATTTAAAAGTGACAATATAATCTAGAGTTATTCTGCTTATGCAAAAAATAACCTCTTCAAACAAAGTGTGAGTGGCTATATTCAAGGTCACTGTGGGTTTTTTGTGTGTGCATGTATGTATGCATGCCCCTGTGGGTCACGTTTAACACTTTCTGTGTTGCACTCTGGAGTGAAAGAGATAAGGGAAGCATTCTCGCCCTGGCAGAGAGGGAGAGCGGAGGAAAGAGGGAAGGTTGCAAAACAACCTCTGAACCACTTTCATTTAGGCCCATGTCTCCTTTTTCCCCCACATCCCTGTGTGGATGTTAATACCCTTCAAAGGTAAACCTTATTTCTGTGCCACCGAGCTATGCCGAATCTAAACCTCCCAAAGGGCTTCAGGTTTTTGATCCAAAGGTCCTTTTCATGGGCGCTAAGCCCATTTTTTGGCTTGTTTGTAAAATGACTCCCCATGTAAGCAGTGTGTGTGTGGCTGTGTGCATGTATGTCTATGATATGCAGGGGTTGTGGGGGAATGAAAAACGGTCACTGCTTCACATGTCTCTATCGTTTGTTGTTCCCACCACTCCCCGCTCCCTCCCTGTGCATTTGTTTCCAGCAGCAGGTTCCCCGCGGAGCCCCATCAATAAGACCACCCTGACTCTGATCAGTGTCATCAGCTGCGTGATTGGCCTGGTTTACTCCTCTCATATGTCCTGCAGCCTCTCAGTCCGGGTAATCCTACATGTGCCAGAGCACCTCATTGCTGACGGTAAGGCTTTACACTCAGATTGTGGATGGAGCCTCTGTGGGCGCTCAAAGCCCCAGGGGGCTGAGCTGGCATTTTTCCGCCGCCCTCCTGAGAGTTCAGCCCGCTATTTCTCTCAAACGGAGTGCCTGCGTTTTGCGGTCGAGCTGCCGATTTGCTTTGCACTCTCAAAGACAAAGGTAAATGCCAGGTCGACCACCCCCTCCCTGGGTTTCCCATGTGAGACCACACAACAGATGTGCCCTCAAAGCATCAGAGCACATTGAGGCCAGGTCGCAGTGACCACCCGCAGCAAACCCTCCATCACTCTTCCCCTTGTACTTTCTGATACGTTGAACCACCTCGCTAATGAATTTCAATGTAGCACCTGCAGAAGAAAAAAAGCACCGTGGGGGCCAAGCACTGGCTCCTGCTTGCTCTTTGGCATTTTTCAGCTGTCACAGAAGTGAGCTGGCAGTCCAGATATATTATAGACTGTGACTAGGCTCACTCATCTATCATCTGGAGGTCTGATTTGATTCGGAGCGCTGCTGCTTTCCGGTGGTAGACGCTGCCCTGCCAGGAAGATATTAAAATTCCAGGGAGGCGTCCAGGGAGGGAACTTTGAAAGGAGAGATGAAAGATGGGGAATTCGCCTGTTGAATTACAAAACTGGGATCGATTTAGAATGTTTCCATAAATGTCTCCACAATCTCATCAGACTTGATTTGATGTCATGGTGAATCAGATGAAAATCTGGTTTCTACCACCGGGGAAAGAAGCTATTAATGCCAACAGCTGGGCATGTGTCTGCCTTCAAATACTATGAGGGAAACCACAGAAACACAGAGTCACACCTTTTTCCTTGCCTTTCACATCAGGGAAAGTAATCATATTGAGATGTTTGTCTCTTTACACAGGATAACAATATCTACTGCTGTTCAAGATTCATAACAAAGGATAGGACAAACTTTTCTTGATGACTAACCAGGAGTCTTAAAAGGAAATCTGGCCAGGGTTTGTCATCCTAAATTGTATTTTTGTGGAAACAGGTGTTGTACTTCCATCTGTGTCTTGTCTGGGATGTGTCACAAATGCATCTCAGACTATCATTTGGCTCGTCCCAGTGGCTCAGTGGTTAAAGGGGCATAACTAAGGCGTATCTAGGGAGCTTTGTTGTATGTCATGCCTAGCCCTTGTCAAGGACCATCATACTATCGTCCTGGATGGCCATCTGCCAGAACCTGAATATTTCACTCCATCTTGAAATATCTATTTTGTTGAAAATTCAACCTCCTACTGTGCATTCGCACCAAAAGATTCAAAATTGCCAGTGGTCGCTCAGGTCGCTGGCATCACGCTGCCTGGCAGCTCTGGCAGGGCTTGCAGAAGGCTGCCAAAGGGCGGGGCTTTCAAGCTGCGCTGCAGAAGATCTCTTTCTTTCTTTCTTTCACTGTCCCACCTTGAGAATATTCATGGTCTGCAAATGGCTGCTGCTCGCTGCTGCTTTGGTGGCGGCGCTGCTCATTTGCATAAAGTTCAGCTTCTCTCAATTTCAGCTTGACGCTCAGGTCGCTGGCATCGCGCTGCTCGCGGTCGCTCGCTGCAGCCGGTGCGAGTGACGCTCTTTGTCGCGAGTGTTCATTGAAAATGAATGGCTGCTGGCTGCTTATGACGCTCATGAACTTTTGGTGGGAACGCACAGTTAGTGAAAAACCTTAGTGACTCAACCTTCAGTGACAAGCAGGCTCAGGGTCTACAGCCATGTTAGTGGCTCAGTGAGGCAAAGTGTTGCTTTGAGCTACATGCTAACATCAGCAGGCTACGACACTTCCAGTGTAGGTACTAACAGTGCTGATATTTAGCAGGTGTGGCATGTTTACCATGATAGTTAAACCTGTTAGCATGCTAACAGGCTAACTTGCACTGAACATAAAGCAGCTGAAGAAGATGGGTGTGTTGTTTTTATAAATTAATTTAATTTAATAAATTAAATTTTTATACAACCTGTCACCTTGATTCTAATTTCTAATACATTAATTAGCCTAATTGAATTAGTTTAAATATAAAAAAAACATACAGAAAACATAAGGACTAAAAGTTGATTAAAATGTCAAGAATTTTGCCAACTAAAATGTTTTGAATTTCTGATGACTGAAACTAGAGTAAAACTATGAAGGATTGAAATAACTACAATGTGACTAAAACTAATTAACTTTTTTGTCTCAAGACTAAGACTAGTTGGCTGTCAGCTGTGGTCTTTGCTGTGTGTTCACATGCAACTTTTGGCTGAGACATGAGGCAAAGCAACAGTCCGCCTTTGTTGTCACCACTTCTTTGATATTGGTGTGATGCGTCTGGGCTTTTAAAACCACAAATGTGAACAACTCTATGGTGGTAGTAGCTATAGTACTAGATGAAAAGTCACAGGATCACCGCATTCATGAGGATTCATCCTATGGGAACCACGAATGTCTGTATACAAAAGCTCATGACAGTCCATCCATTAGTTAGTGGAGAGATTTTAGTCTGCACCAAAACAGAGACTACTGTCATTGCCATGGTGCCGTTCTGCTTGCGTGGCTGAAAAACATTAGGAATAATGACCAAGAAAGGTCTCTTTCAATAAATTATTACAGCAAGACAACTGCTGATGAGCTACACTCCAATAATACATCCTGCTCTATCTTTTTAAAAAAACAAACAAACAAAAAAAAAAACAGTTTGTTTTGACCATAATGGAAGAGACCTCGCTTGCTCAGAGTGAATCATGTTTTCATATTTTTCTGTTACTTTGCACCTGCCTGTCATTGTTTTTTACCACCAGGAAAGTGCCTACAATCTGGTGAATTTTTATTTTCAACATTGTCCCTGTAACAACCTTTATGAGTCACTGAAATGTCAAGGTTTCATGAAATGGCCACCTACGACTGTAATGTGATGGTGCACTCTCTTCACGTTTCCTGTCCATCTCTGCTGTCACGTGTCAAAGATTAAAAGCACAAAGACTAACAAATGAACACTTACTTCAAAGGTTTAAGTAAAAAACTTACTGCTTGAATGCTTTTCTTTTCTTTATGTTGTTTCTGTTTTGCATTGTTTTAGTGTTTCAGTTATAAAACATTTTCTACTCATAAATATCTCATGTAATATTGCTCAATTTCTGCACAACAGCCCTATTCAGACTCTGACTGAAGTGCTGTACAGTGGTGCTTCAATCGGCTATTAAGCCTGGTGCCCACTCCACCTGTTCTAGCTCTGGAAGTCCTCCAGAGAGATTCACACTTGAGGTGATGATGAATATCTGAATCAAACTGGCTCTAGTTTCATATTCTATTAACATTTTTTTTCGTCAGAATACTACTTAGTACATTATTTTTTTTTTCATACAGCCACAAATAACTTATGTTTAATATTAGAATCCATTTCATGATGTGAAAACAAAAATACTGCATATCCCCGATTGCCAGAGACATCAAATAGGACATAAAATGTGCCATAAAAACAGAAACATTGCTGATTGGTGTCTCAGGTCTGAAAGTTTTTACGAGCAATTTTACGACCCTCCACAATTAGACAAACAAGATGTGCCGGCCATTTGCAGTGTGTGCTCTAGTTTTAAAGGGATCATCAAAGGGGATGGCACTAACTAGGGCACACAGAGCCTGCCAAGAAGTCATTAAATATGCTTGGGTTAGCAAATGCCCAGTGCATCCCATGTTTGCAAATGGACAGGGCTTTGGTCAATGAGAGTTGCTGCTAATTTACAGAGATCACACAGTGGATAACTGTCGGTGTCAGGTATTACAGTGACACCTGCTGTATTCGGTGTCCACAAGCTGTGTTTTGGGGGGTGGGGGTGGGGGTGGGGTTGGCTGGTTGGATTTCAAAATATTGCATATTTTTCAAGGCTTTAAACTTTCCTCGGAAATGCAAAGTGACTTTAGGAGATATCTTCAAGTTTTCAAGTGTATTCAGTGTAACAATTCGATATCAACTTTTGAAGTAGTACTAATATCAGATAAATGTATATGCAGTTCTTGTCTCATTTTCCTCAATTAAAGGGAAAGTTAACTCCAAAACCTAAAAAACACATAATTGTCCTCTTACCTGTAGAGCTGTTTATCAATCTAGATTATTTTGATGTGAGAGGCTAAGTGTTGGAGATATCGGATATTGGAGATGTCTGCCTTCTTTCCAAAATAATTAGAACTAGATGGCACTCTGCTTATGGTGCTCAAAGCACCAAAAAAAAAAAAAAATACATTTAAAAAGCTCAACAGCAATGTCTCTTTCCAGATATGGTGACCTGGTTACCCAAGATAGTTCAGAGACCTTGTTTTGAGCAGTATCATGTAGGAAATATTTTCTTTTCACCAAACTACAACAGCCAGCTGTATCACTGTGCAGAGGGAAGTGAGCATCTACTCACGCACGAGAGGCTCGTGCTCGTGACAGTGCTAGATGTTAACATTAATGCTTCCTCCTTGGCTGAGCTGTAACATTAGCTAGCTCAGTGGTCCTAGGTGAGCTAGCAGTAGATGCACACTTCGTTCTGCGCGTTGATATGGTTGGCGAGTGTAGTTCAGTAAAAGAAAATAGTTCCAACATGAAACTGCTCACAACAAGCTCTGTGGACTATCTTGAGTAATTGGGTCATGATTTCTGGAAAGAGACATTGCTGTTAAGTTTTTCAAATTTATTTTTTGGCGCTTTGAGCACCCAGCCCTTCTCATTTCCAGGTTGTCAGATACTGATGCTTTGTCAGGAACTGTAGGCATTGTGGAACAGAGGCAGTATAAGAATTATTTTTGCGTTGAGACGCACAATATTTGGTGCTAAGAGCAACTGACGTAGTTTATACGCAAGAAAATCTGCGTAAGGTTGGAGGGAGGCGTGATGGATGGATAAAACAAAAACAGATTTTTATCCAGGTGATCACAGTTCATTTTGCGTACCAATAGTCATTGTTCAAAGTACTGTTGCATAACTTACGTAGGTATTTGACGTAATTACGTCATTGATGTGAACCTAACCAAGTAGTTTTGTTGTGTTAACCTAACCACAACTCAACAATGTTATTATAGGAGCCAGCTGTGTGTCACATACAGACACTAAAAGGTGTCTTGTGAGTCGGTAACGCCAAAAGGGCATGCCATCTAGTTCCATTATATTCAAGAGAAAGCAGATGTCTTTGTGGCGGATATCTCCAACACTCTGCTACAGTCTAGACTGATAAATAGCACTACTGATAAGAGGAAAATATGTTGTTTTAATTTTTGGTGTGAACTGTCCCTTTCAATTTATCTTTGCTGGACAAATGCCTGGATTTTAAAATCTACACTGGAAACAAGCAACAGTACACTATAGCTCATCGATATTGTCAAGATTCCAACTCTTTATGGGCATACGTTTCTATTCACCCCTCATGGTGGCAGATACAAATATGGCTAGTAAACAATGTGAAGCAAAATTTTTATTATTATTTTTTTTTTTTTTTTTTTTTTGTCAAAGCATAAGAATTTAAATTCAAAGGGCCATTAAAGGCTGTTCACAGACGCAGCAGATGTGGTGACCTGACACTGGAATGCAACAATAATACCATCAAGTCCCTTTATTTATGGCACGAGTCCCACTAATAATGCATGAGAGGATCAAGATGGAGGTGTGCTTTTTTGTGCATGTACCTTGGGAGTTCAGGGGGAAACAGCTTTGGAACTGTTAATTTATTCTTAGCTGTTGATTCTGCTGCTAATAATCATACAAAAATATTCAGTGACATTGTTGACGTGTTTTTATAAAGTGAAACTGCAGAGTAGTCTGAACAGTTTGAGTTTGAGGAGTAAATTTTTTTTACAGACCCTCAACTTTAACCAAGTTAATATCCAGTCACAGTCACCAGGGCGTGTAGCCAATTTAATCTGTGTGTGCCATCACCCTAAACATAATCAAATTAAACACACCCTGTATGTAAAGTCATTGGCTCAGCAAGAAATACATGAAAAGGAGAGAAGTCCATAACACAATTTCCCACTGCACCAACGGGAAGGACAAAGAAGACGAGGTTTATCAGTAAACCCGCAGCCAAACAAAGGCCTTCCTTTAGTACATACAGTAAGCAGTCCAAACTACACTAACATGATTTATTTATGTTTGACATTGTGTGAACCTTCACCATTATAATCCTTGCAAATATTTATTCAAACGCCATGGGAAATGCATACACAAAATTCAAACCTCTATTTTCTTCACTGGCGCATGTGTTTGGCTGCAGGGCAACAAAGTGGCTGCCTGTGGTTACTGATAATTACCAGCAGAAGTGTTAGTCTTGTTATTACAGGTATTGTTTCATTAAAATGTTTCTCGCAGTTTGAATATTTTTATCTTTTAGTTTTAGCTGTCAAGGTTTGTTATCTTGGTTGGATCTCAGCCCTTGCTTTAATGATAATACATGCTAATAATTGGTTTTCAGATACCACAGTGGTAGCTGAGAAGGTTGTTTGAGGTTTTTAATGCAGTGTTTGTAGGAATGGGTTCATCTTGAAGCCAAATAAATCCTCAACTGATATTCCTGTGATCAAATATTTATTTTCTGCTTTTATCAAACTGTTTTATTTTGAAGGTTTTCTAACTCTAGGGTTTAAGTTTTCCTCACCTCTAAAGCATCTCCTGCCCCATTTCAGCTTAAAGTAATAAAATAATCTGCTCGCTGTCTTTAAATCAGCTGCAGGTATTTGAGTTGCAAGGTCCAAAATATCTTGTGTCCTTGTCCTTCTTATTATTTTAATATTTTTAATAATTGTTAAAATGACACTTGCCCAAAAAGGCAGTTATTTGTTTTTTGATGTGAGCTGTTTTGTACTCACTGTCTTTTCCTTCCCTCTCATTCTTTCCTTCTTTTCCACCCTCCCACCACCCACCATATATTCATCCACCTTCCACGTCCCTTTATCCCCTTTCCCAATTCTCTGTCTCTTCAACCCCCTATCCATCTCTCATTTCTTCCCTCATCCATCCTTCTCAGGTTCAAGGTTTATTTTGCTGCAGGGGAGCCAGTTGGATGCCTCAGACTGGCTGAACCCAGCCCAGATCTTGTTGTACTACCAGCAGAATGCCAGCGGGCCCTGGGTTAGCGAGCTGTGTGGACGACGCCTCCTGGATCCCTGCGAGCACCAGTGTGACCCGGAGACAGGTGAGCCGAGAAAACAACATAAACAAGTATCAGTTCTGTGCTCTACCTGCTCAGATTGTTACCTTGGAAACCTTATTAATTATTAGTTGAAAGGCACACGGTGTTTGCTCTCTCGCTTGACTAGCCTCCATCACCACGTCCATGGAGGATACAGTTAGATTACAGTCATTTTAATGCTGGCTTTCTTTTTTTTCATGCTTGCAGCTTAACCAGTAATCATACAGTAGGTTTTTGCTTGGATCCATAGATACTATTATTACCTTGGTGGTTTAGCTGCTTTTACATAATGACGGGCTTCATTTTAAAACTGTGACAAAGTGTGAAGGAAATGTGACGAAAGTAAACACTATGGTAATAGCACCATCATCAGCCCAAATAACAACCTGTGTAATTCTTCTGATTTAGATTGGCCTTCAGACAAACAGCAATGGCCATTAAGGAGAAGAGGAGTAATATATACAGAAGTCCTTGACCTATAGGAGGGTGATGTGCTGTAGAGGGTGACACGGGATTGGATTTTCAATCCTGTCCCATCCCACTGCCACAAAAATAATCCCATCCTGTCCCAATCCCATGAAAAAGGAAAAAAATAAATTAATTTTATATATTCCTGACTATAATTACATTACATTGTGGTGACAACATTGTCGGGATTATTTCCAGAGACAATGTTACTTTGAGTTAGTTATAGGAATGCACCGAAATGAAAATTTGTGGCCGAAGCCGAAGCCGAAGCCAAATAATATTAAACTCTTGGCCGAATACCAAGTACCGAATACCGAATATTAGGGCCGTAACGGTACATGTATTTGTGTCGAACCGTTCGGTATGCGACTTTCGGTTCGGCACGACCCTGTACCGAATTATTGGGCGCAGGAAATTATTTTATTTTATTTTGTTTCATTTTAATTCCGTTTTTGCGAGCCGAACCATTTAAAATATCTAGTTCCCCAACGGACATAACTGAGTGACGGACCGAGTCCGACCGTAAATCTCTGCTTTTACTTTGTGCAGCGCATTCACGCATTTTGACAACATGGCAAGTGAGCCTGACGAACCTGAAGACCCACTGAGACCCACCCGCAAACCTTAAGTCCTCCATTTGGGAACACTTTGATTTCAGGGTAAAATACGAAAATGGAAATAAATAAGTGGACAAGACAAAAGCAGTGTGCCGACACTGCAGAACAGCGGTCGGGTATGTACTTGGAAACACGTCTAACATGCTAACGCATCTAAAGCGACACCACCCGAGTTTGAACGTTAACCGGCACGACTAGAAAAAGCAATCTGGTGCAAACTACGATATCGTCGTTGTTTAAAAAGAAAGAGCGTTTCCCTGACCATCGTGCTAAAGAAATAACCAACGCCATTGGAGTTGAGTAAAATTGTTTAAGCTGCACTTTAGATATAAGCATGTTTTGTTTACTGCGCTTAACAAAGTGGGAAAGCTAAGTAAGTTCCTAGTAAAACTGAATCTGAGCAGGCTTTAAAGCTGACCAGCTGCACTTTACTTTTTATTTTAACTGAGTAAAACTGTTAAAGCAAAAATTTATATTTATTTTTCATTCAAAAAATGTGTTAAAAAAAACAGCAGGATTTTATTTTTCACTTTTATATTTCTATTTTCATTCAAACAATGTGAAAAAGCAGGATTTATATATATTTGTTTCATTCAAAAATTGTGTAAAAAGAGTTAACTGCTGTGGTGGTATGTTTTAATAAGGTTACCAATAAGTAAAAGATATTTAATAGTTGTCTATTTTTTTCATTACTGTACCGAAAAAAAATGAACCGTGACTTGTGTACCGAGGTACATACCGAACCGTGATTTTTTCTCGTTTCTCCTCTGACACGTGACATACCTGTGTTCGGCTGGCTCGGCTGTTCAGGTATTTCTGGGCAGTCATGACACCAAGAAGAGGATATTATTAGAGCGGATTATTATTATTATTATTATTATTATTATTAGGACGGATCGCCACACTGCCGACATTTTACTCAGCCCGTCACGGCACGCTGTTTGATTGCGTTATCAAAACACGCCGCTATTAATTCGGCCTTGCTTTTAATTTATTCCACCGAATACCGAATGTGTGTTTTTTTGCAATATTCAGCCGAATATATTCGGTTACCGAATATTCGGTGCATCCCTAGTTAATTAAACACCACATTTCGGCCTGGAATTACAGGGCATCCCATTTGCTGTTTTAAAGAAGTTGTATATAAATGTAATGTGGAGGATACAGGTCTGGCCTGCACTGTTTTTTTATTTGTAACCCTAGCAGAGACTGTAAAAAACAGTACATCACTTCACACACAGCCTACCCTCTATGGTGGACTGACCACTGCTGGGTGACGGAAAATGCATCACTAATGCGTTTGTGATTTTTCTTGGGAATGTCACCACAGACACTCAGTTCACAACTTCTTAAAGAACAAAAACATTTGTTGGTCTAAATCTGTAAGAAAGCACAATATTATTTGCAGCAAAGTGCCTCATGGGATCAGATTAAAAAGATTAAAAAGTGAAGGAAAGAAAATATAAGAGAGAATAAAGTCAGAAGCAACGATGTGCAGGTTGCAGGTGGATATTTTTACATTGAGAACATACAGTAACTTCTTTTCATTATTAATGACTCAAGGGTTTGACCCATAATTAGTCGACCAAAGGATTATGTTGCAAAAAGTTTGTTCTGTAAAACTGTGAATTAGTAGTGGTAGACATTTTGGTACACAGCAATGCCTTCCTCCACATTTCCACCCTGGTCAAATCTATGGACAGTGAACATTTGACATATTACATGTCTGACATATTACCAGAACCAAACCAGACATGCACGCACAATTTGATCGTATCAAGCAGTTGAATGTCAAGCATCCAGTAACCACACCCCCTTTCTCTTTGCATGTCTTTGCTGCCATGTTCATTCATATTGTGAAGTATAGTGTATCAGCCATAATACCTGATGTCCGTGGATACTGTTTTCATGGAAATTGGGGATATTTCTAACATAAAAGGCAGAGAAATCTTTGAGAAGAAAATTGATGAGGCCATTACTGATATAAAATCAACTAATTTGTAGTGAATAACAGATACAGAGGAAAAATGTAGCGGCAGTCTTTTGGTGTGACAGTTATTGGCAAAAAAATGAATTTGCACATCTTCAATTCATCAAATGTGTTGGCTCTAATTAGAACAAAATAACTCTTTGTCTACATCCTAATATTTTTCATCCATCAAGGCCATACAGTTTTGAATTTTAGAATTCAGTGAAAAACGGGAAGCTCTGTCTTGCTGCATGTGAAAGTGAGGGGACAATTTAAGAAAGCAGTTGCTTGTGCAAAGCTGGCTTCATGATGGCAACATGAACCACAGTTTCATTGTTTATTCACTGGTTGCTTGTACACTTGATGTGGTAGGAGACAGAGGGGGAGTTTGCCTGTCCTGCAAAACCCCTCCAGAAGTTACAGTGTTTATCACTCACTGTGGCTCCTCACCAGTGAATCTTGTTCCAGTGCCCAAAACATAGCCGCAGCCAGTCAGCGGCTGCATAAAGGAGCCTCTTTAATTGTTTACAGGTGTGACCGTGCCTGTGGCTCATCACACTGCAGGGCCTGAAATGGAAAATAGATTGTCTGGAGTACTCGACCTGACTTTCCCCAGGGGAGCTGTCTGCGGAGCTGATCAATTAGTTTGCATGTCTCCACTGTCAACTTCATTTGTACTCGAGGTAACAGCAGGGAGTCTGTACACAGCATCTAGTTTAAACTGGATGGGTTTTCTGAGCAATTTAGAAAAAAAGGTAATAGATTAATTAATTGTAGCAGATAAACTATAATGGAAATGAAAAGCAGTATGTACATTGCTTTTGTCTCGAGCTTCTGGAGTGGAAAAATATTTTCGGACTGCGATTTTGCAAAGGTTAAAAAGTAATTTGCCAAAATGTGATTTACCTGTCAGAGCTCCTTCAGCTAGTGTGTAATAGTGGTGTAATTGTTTTTGCCTGAATTGATTAAGTAACAATTGAATCCAAGCTATTAGTATTTACTCGAGGCCTAACAGTCCAGCACATTTTACAGCAAAAGCACAACAACAACAATGAGGTCCCAGCAACAGTTTTAATGACAGGAATAACAAGAATAGACAGACCTATCAGTAATAAAGAACCAATCACAGAAGAAATGAAACAGCATGTCTGATGGATGTAACTGGGTAATTATGTCAAAGCAGCTCAACCAGAGTAAGGCAGAATTAAAGATTAAATCAGAATTATAGTTTAATTAAAGTTCAACTCATAAAAGCCTTTATTATTTGGATAGAAAAAATCTGGTGGATTATCACAGCTAAATAAATTATAAGTATGAATTTTACTTTCAGAACTAAAATACACTTCCATTTAAAAGTTTGGAATCGCCTGCCACAAAAGCTTGACTGGTTACAGTCAGGTGGCTGAGAGGTCTAGTCTATATTTTTGAATTGTTTTTCATGCTTATAGGTTGCACAAAGTCCTCTTCATAAATGTATATTATTATGTATGTAGGGTTTATATTGTACATAGAGAACAAAACACTGTACAATGGTTCAACTAGACTGAATGGGCAGAAAGAGACAAAGATCCCTTTGTGCAGCAGTTCAGTAAGAACAGAAGAAATCACCATTGCAAAAGAAAGTGGAAGCTCGGCATCAAAATGTGGGCAGATTTCAAAAGGAAATGTCAAGTGCATAATAATGCCAGTAACAAGCTGGAATTAACAGTTACCACTTTGCCATAGCAAAGCAATTCTTCTTCTTTGCACCATTGGAATATTAGCTGAATATACTATGGACTGCAAATCACAGTTTAAACCTTTTCAATCTAACCACTGAGTGGACTACAGAAGGCCAAAAGAAATATGGCTTACAAAATATTTTGAGCCCTATCACAGTGTTACAGTAATGTTTGAGGGTCGCATGCGCATTTCTGGTGTGAAAAACTATTTCAAAAAAATTCAAAAGG